AGTCAGCCCTGGAAGCAGCCCACTACTTCACGGAGGACAGCTCCCCGGAAGGTGAGCGCTGCTGGGACAGGTGGCCTGCAGCCTGAGGGGTGGGGAACCTGCCTTGTTGGGGTGCTCGCGAACCAGGGCACTGCCTCTCTCTGGGCAGCTCCCTGGGGTGTTCTCACTCATTTCTCTTGTCTCTGCCTTCCTGGACTCTGGCCTCCCTCCCTCCCTCTGCCCTTCACTCCCCCCTCTCCTTTCCAGCATCTCCTCTGGCCTCAGATCTGGATCTTTACCTGCCCTGGGAGGCTCAAGGTCAGTCCCTGGGGGCAGCGGCACCCTCTGCCCTGGGCTTCCTCCAGGCCTTGGGCTCTGCCTTCCTCACAGTTCCCTGCACGGTCAGGAGGCCTGCAAGCTCTTGGTCCCAGGGACACTTCTGAGTGGCTAAGTCCTGAGGAGGACCCATAGCCAAGGGCTTGTCATGGGTGGTCAGTGAGGGCACAGGGGGGGCTTGCGCAGGCACCAGAGCGTCAGCTCCACAGCCATGTGCAAAAAGTGTCCCGTTGTCTCATTCATAGGAACAAGCACAAACGCTGTCATTGCAAACAGGCAAAACACGAGCAGGATGCATGGCAGAGCAGGAGGGTGGTGGGTGCTTCCTTGAGAAATGTTTTCTGTGTCCCACACACCTTCCTGTTCGGGGTGAATGTGTTTGTTTAAATCCCTGTGCTGCACTTAAGCCCTTGGGAGCACCAGATCCAGATGGTGGGGCATTCTGGGCCTGGCCTTAGCAGTCGAGCTGGTGCTGTATAATGTACTTACCCAAAGGGCCAACACTCTGCCCTGTAACTTCTCGGGGGGATGAGGGGGACAGTACACACCAAGGATGATACACCCAACAGAAATTACAAACAGCATGTGGCAAGATGCCCAGGGCAGCCCGGATCTGTGTGTTCAGTGGTTAGAACATCAACCTCGCACCAAAGGTTGTGGTTTCTATTGCTAGTTAAGGGCACGTGCACATACCTGGGTTGTAGGGTTTGGGTTTTTTAAAATATATTTTTATTGATTTCAGAGAGGAAGGGAGGGGGAAGAGAGAGATGGAAACATCAATGATGAATCCTTGATCTGCTGCCTCCTGCACGCCCCACAATGGGGATCGAGCCCAAACCTGGGCATGTGCCCTGACTGGGAATCAAACTGTGAGCTTCTGGTTCATAGGTCAGCCCTCAACCACTGAGCCACGCCGGTTTAATCCCCAGGCCCAGTTGGAGAGGGTGCAGGAGGCAACCAATCGGTGTGTCTCTCATATTGATGTCTCTCTCTCCCCCGTCACTCCCTTCCTTCCACTCTCTCTCAAAATTAATGGAAAAAATATCCTCAGGAGAGGATTTAAAGAAGAAGAAGAGATACAGAGCCGAGCTGTATTTAAAACTTCATCCTCGGCCCGTGTGGGGGAAGGTCAAATTACTAATTAGGCCCCTTTGGTTTGACCTTTTTCAGCAGAGATTACAGAACTTCGTTCTTGGAGTTTTTCTCCATAATGTGCACCATCGTTCACTTAAACACTGAGTGGTGCGATTTACATTCCTTTGAAAGACAGGAAGTGCGAGCTGGGTGGCTCTGGGTTCCATGTAGCCGGTGGAGAGGAGCAGCCCCTGCTGACAGGCGGGCGGCCAGTGCAGAGGGCAGAGCAGCGCCTGCCACCAGGGCCTGTTGGCTTCTGCAGGAGACCACGGACTAGCCGCTCACGGACCTCAGCGTGGAGTCGTAACGGGAGAATGTTCTGTGTTCTTTTTCGGTGTCCAGAAGCCCTGCAGCAGGAAGAGGGCGCGGGAGCTGGAAGTGAGGACGTCCAAGGAAAAGGAGGAGGTATATACAGGCCCTCTCGGCTGCTGCCGTGGAGGCGGGGCCAGCGGGGTGCGGTGCCCTGTCACTTCGGAAGGCCCCCACCGGGGACATGGCAAGCCCCGCCTGAGTCCAAGGCTCTCCCTGTGGAAAGGGGGGTGTGAGGGAGGCCCTGCTCATGTCAGCCCCAGGCCTGGATCTTCTTGTAGCTGTGAACACCTCCCCTCCCCACGCCGCTGCCGCCACCTCCTCCCGGTGCCTGCTTTCTGCCAGGACCCTTCTCATGCGCCCTCATTCCAGCCTCCCATGGTCCCATCACCATCTTGGGGCTTGGGGAAGGCAGGTTGGCTCATCTTTATCAGTTTAGGTCAAACCTACGTTAGCATAGCCCAGGGGAGACCCCTGAGTGGTCTGGAGTGTTCTTTCCCCAAATGCTGGGGTGTTTGTCAAAGGGCCCAGACCACACCCTACCCCGCTCATTCCCTGCTGCCAGCCCCCAGCCCGCTGTCATCTGATAGATGGAGTTTAATTTTTTCTCCCAACTCGCAGAGGAGAAGGGGACCAGCCCCGCCGATTACCGGCACTACCTTCAAATGTGGGCCAAGGAGAAGGAGGTTCAGAAGGAGACCATTAAGGACCTTCCCAAGATGAACCAGGTAGGCCCCCCGAGCCTGCAGTAGACGCTGCGTGAGTGGCCTAGCTGGTCCTCCCCCCGCACCCCAGAGCGGGGTTCTGTCTGCCTCTGGATCCCGCTAGTCAGATGGCAGAGACGAGCCCAGAAAGACAGGAGGCCAGGTGTGTCAGGGCCTGTTGGGCCGTGTCGTGGGGACAGCTTGTTCACGGTCACTCAGGACCATGAACCAGAAAAGCACTGGGGAAGGTGGGCCTCTCAGGGGCAGAGACTTGACACACCACCTTTAAGGAGACGTGTCACGGCGCTCCTGCTGCTGGGCCCACACGCGCGCTCTGCACACACAGGCTCCTGGTGGATTTGCTGGTCTCTAGGTTTGGAGCCTGGAGTCTCGGTGAATTCTCAAGGCCAGACCACAGACATGTAACCAAAGGCAGTTCTTTTTTAAATATATTTGTATTGATTTCTGAGAGGAAAGGAGAGGGAGAGAGAAACATTAATGAAAGAGAAACATCTATCAGCTGCCTCCTGCACACCCAACACTGGGGATCCATCCTGCAACCCAGGCATGTGTCCTGACCAGGAATCAAACCGTGACACTCAGCCACTGAGCCACACCTGCTGGACCAGCCTGAGGGTGGCCCTGCTCTACCCAAAGGGGCCCCTGCAGTCGGCGCCTCACCGCGAGCAGGAGGCATCATGTGTGATCTCAGGACCCGGAACCGGACCTCCTTCCCTCACTGACCGGCTGCACTTGTCTGGTCACCACCCTCCAAAGAGCTTTGTCAGGAGTTGAAGTTGCTCTGATTAAAGATATAAAAAGCTGGAGGTGGCTCCAAAGCACAGCGAGGAAATCTGTGTAGTCACTGGGTCCAGAGAATCATGATAGAAAAAGGCCCATTTGCTGACAGAGGACACAGACAGAGATTCCAGGTCGTTCTCTGTCCTGAAGGGCAGCTGGGAGATAGAGCCCTCTGAGGCCACGCCTCCCTCTCGGACCCTCATGGTTCAGTCTGACCTGGCACCACAAGGTGCGGGCATGGATGTGCCAACAAGACCACACCCACGCAGGTCGGTGGCCAGCACTGGCAGCCTGACCTGTCTTCCACCAGCTCCCTGCCCTTGTTCTGTTTTTCCCTTTAAAAGGAACAGTTCATTGAGCTGTGCAAGACGCTTTACAACATGTTCAGTGAAGACTCCATGGAGCAGGACTTGTACCACGCCATCGCCACGGTGGCCAGCCTGCTGCTGCGCATCGGGGAGGTGGGGAAGAGGTTCTCGGGGCAGCCCGGCAGGAAGCCCCGGGACGGGGCCCCCGGGGAGGACCAGCCCCCAGCCCCCGACCCCCCGCAGGACCCTGCCCTGGAGCTCCAGCCACCAGCTGTGGGCGACCCCCAGGCCAGAGCTGGTGGAGACACCCAGCTTGGGAAAGCACCGCAGGAGAGCCAGGTGGTGGGCGAAGGGGGCGGTGGCGAGGGCCTGGGCTCCCCCTCCCAGCGTCTGTCTGACGACGAAACCAAAGACGACATGTCCATGTCCTCCTACTCGGTGGTCAGCACGGGCTCCCTGCAGTGTGAGGACCTGGCCGACGACACGGTGCTGGTGGGCGCGGAGGCCCGCAGCCCCTTGGCCCCCAGCCGCAACGGGGGCTCCGTCGACACCGACTGGAGCATCTCCTTCGAGCAGATCCTGGCCTCCATCCTGACAGAGTCTGTGCTGGTGAACTTCTTTGAGAAGAGGATGGACATTGGACTCAAGATCAAGGACCAAAGGAAAGTGGAGAGACAGTTCAGCTCCTCCAGTGACCATGAGCATTCTGGGGTTTCCAGCTGAACACTCGCAAGTGGGGCCGACCCCCGCTTCCCTCCGGGTCTGTCTCTCCCTAATCACACCCCCCCTTCTCCCAGAAGCAGTGACTTGTAGAGGGAAAGAAGGCTGAACAGCCGCCATGGGGCCCAGGCAGAGGCTCTGCCCTTCTTCCAGCCCTGGGCTCTGGGCCCCGCAGATGCCAGAGCCTCCTGTGTGCCTCTGCCTGCCCAGTGCCCGCCCACCTGCGCCACCGCCAGGCCATGCCGGGCCCCCCTACAGGCTCCCCTGCAGCCGCCTGCTCGGAGCACCTGCCTGTTGGGCACCAGTGGCCGCTCTCCAGGAGCCCCTGAGGGACGCTGGGTACCAGGCAGGCGTATTCTAATGTTCCTTCAGCTCATCATCCTCACCATTAACCTTAACACATTCCTCAGGTCCTGATGTCTTTCCTCGTGTTCTTTTCCGTTAGCTAACAATCACACTGTGTTTAATGCCTTAATAAGTCCCTGAAAGAACTGAAAGCCACACTGTGGCTCTGGCCGCTGGGCCCCGTGGCTGAGCATTGTCCCATCAGGTTCAATTTCCTGTCAGGGAACCTGCCCAGGTTGTGGACTTGGTCCCCAGTAGGGGGCGTGCAGGAGGCAGCCGATGGATGTTTCTCTCTCGTCCACGTTTCACTCCCTCTCCCTTCCTCTCTCTAAAATCAATAAAAACTTATTTTTTAAAAACAACCATGCTGTACATGAGCCTGAATGTGGCCTTGCCCACTGCTTGGGGCTCCTGGCTTCTCCACCTCCGGCTGCCAGACAGTCCCTACAGGGTGGGTGCCAAGGCCCCAGGGAGATGGGGCACAGAAGGTGCTGATGAAAGCTGAGCTGAGCAGGGCCGCTGGTGGCCTGTGACAGGGAGCCCCCAGCTCTGCGCTCCACAAGTGTGAGCAGTCGGCCTGGGTGCAGGGAGCAGGCTGCAGGGCTACAGGCTGAGCTACAAGCACCCTCTTGCTTCACATCAGGAGCTGGTCATCAGTGTCCAGTGTTACACACACACACACACACACACACACACACACGCACACACGAGCTCTTGCTTTTGAAAGATCTAATATTGAAAGTCTTGGCAGCGCGGGTTCTCATGGGGCGCAGATCCCGAGCCCCGCCCAGGAGGTGGCGCCGCCCGCGATGCAGTGGCCCTTCACTGTGGTGCCTGAGGCTACAAGCCCAAGTATCTTCAGCTCAAGCAGTTAGAAGATGAGTTCCCTGGACGCCTGGCCATCGCCGGCGAGGGGACTCCCCCGGTTACCGGGGTCTTTGAGGTCATGGTAGCAGGGAAGTTGGTCCACTCTAAGAAGGGAGGTGACGGCTGCTCGGACACAGCTGCCCAGGCTCAGGCCGTGTGCCCTGAAGGCGGAGCCCTGTGACCTTGGCCCAGCCCCTCAGCAGACACTTCATGGTGGGACGGACTGAACGGCCGGTCTTTTCCTGGTGTTCTGCGGCTGCCGGCAGATGGGTGCCCTGGTCTTTGCCTGTGTGTGTCTCCCCAGAATCCAGCATTGCACACTGGCCCTGTCCCCCGACTTCCGCCGTCTCCCTGCCTGCACTCCCCATGCCTCCCTGTCCCCCTCTGGTGTTTGGGCGGGTCCTGCTCCAGGATTCTTTCCCAAGGAGGAGCCTGGGGCGGAGAGGGGGGTGGGGGTGGGGGGACCCGTGTGTGAGTCTCAGGTTTCAGCCGTGTTTGCAACATTCACAGTTCAATAAATATTGAATGAATTTTTTTTAAAAATCTAATATTACAGTTTTGAGACATAACTTACCATAAAATTTGCTTGTTTTAATTTACAATTCAATGATTTTTAGTAAATTTATAGAATTGTGCAACCATCACCAAATGCAGTTCCAGAATATTTTCATACCCCAGAAAGCCCCCTCTCCCCACCCCTCTACCCCCCACCCCCCACCCCTGCCCATGTGCAGCCAATCCCCATTCCACCCTCAGCTCCAGGAAACCACGACTCCATTTGCTGTCTCTTTAGATCAGCGGTTCTCAACGTGTGGGTCGCGACCCCTTTGGGGGTCGAACGACCCTTTCACAGGGGTCACCTAAGACCATCGGAACACACATATATAATTACATATTGTTTTTGTGATTAATCACTATGCTTTAATTATGCTTATTTTGTAACAATGAAAATACATCCTGCATATCAAATATTTACATTACGATTCATAACAGTAGCAAAGTTACAGTTATGAAGTAGCAACGAAAATAATTTTATGGTTGGGGGTCACCACAACATGAGGAACTGTATTAAAGGGTCACAGCATTAGGAAGGTTGAGAACCTCTGCTTTAGATGTTATGGTGTTTCAAAAATCACTCTATGGTTTTATCTTGTTTACAATTTCTAGGGCACAGTGTCAATAAAGGCAACAAAACATCAAGGAAACTGAACAAGTGTTTTTTTTCTTTTAAAAAGTCATTAATTGGGCCAAAACCGGTTTGGTTCAGTGGATAGAGCGTCGGCCTGCGGACTGAAAGGTCCCAGGTTCGATTCCGGTCAAGGGCATGTACCTGGGTTTCGGGCACATCCCCAGTAGATGTGCAGGAGGCGGCTGATCGATGTTTCTCTCTCATCGATGTTTCTAACTCTCTATCCCTCTCCCTTCCTCTCTGTAAAAAATCAATAAAATATATTTTTTTAAAAAGTCATTAATTGGGTGGTCCTGGTCAAAAACAGTGACGGCGGCTGCTAGGTCAATTCCAGGCACAGCTGGCAGGACCTGTGTCTCGTGGCACCCACGGCGAGGAAGGCTCAGCCCCACGGAGAAGGCCCTCACCTACTGTAGAGCTCCCCAGGGTGGCATGACCATGCTGAGCATCTTCCTGACGCCACACTGCCGGGAGCATGAGAGACCGACCCCTCGGCAGTACCCTGGGGAGATGATAACCATACGCTGCTCCATAACTCTCATGTGGATCTGCTTCTGACTGACACGGAGATGAATAAAAAGAACCGGGACCACTACCCAGTGGGAAACACAGCGCTGGTTTGGACCACTACTCTCCCCTCGAACATGAAAAGTGTCTGGGACCTTAAGCTGACCGTCTTTCTTCATCGCAAGTGATGACTAGAGTATACTGATCTCTTTGCTTATGGCAGGAGATGGCTTAAATAAATAACTTAGATTGGTGATTTTAAACAGTCATTAATCAATGTCATTTCCTTTCTAGTATTTATACAAATAACCACATGCTTTGCCATAAAGTAATTTCAAAGACTATGTTTTGGGCCATAGTTAAGATACTTATACATAAGAATCCCACACAGGCCCTAGCCGGTTTGGCTCAGTAGATAGAGCATCAGCCTGCGGACTGAGGGGTCCCAGATTTGATTCCGGCCAAGGGCACATGCCTGGGTTGCAGGCTCAATCCCCAGAAGGAGATGTGCAGGAGGCAGCCGATCAATGATTCTCTCTCATCATTGATGTTTCTATCTCTCTATAATCAATATTCCTCTCCCTCTCTAAAATCAATTAAAAAATAGTAAAATGGTCTTAAAAAAAAAGAATCCCACACAGCAGTTTAGTCTTAAATTGATTGTAATTAATTAGAAAGATTTAAATGGAAATTAGGATAAATGTTTTATATACCATGGAGAAGTATAAATTTTAGAATATACCAAAGAAGATCTGAAACCAAGATTACTATATCCAACAAGGCTATCATTCAAAATAGATGGTGAAATAAAGAGTTTCCCAGACAAAAAATAAAGGCTAAAGGAGTACATCATCACTAAGCCAGCATTACAAGAAATGCTAAAGGGAATGTTATAATGAGAAGAAGAAAAAGAGAAAGAAACCCAGGCATATAGAATTAAAATGGCAATAAATAAGTACCTGTCAATAATAACCTTAAATATAAATGGATTAAATGCGTCCATCAAAAGACCTAGGGTAGCTGAATGAATACAAAAGCATGACCCAACTATATGCTGTCTACAAGAGACCCACCTCAGAACAAAAGATTCACACAAGATGCGAGTAAAGGGATGGAAAAAAAAAATTCTATGTAAATAGAAAGGAATGCTGGAGTAGCAAATTAGACTTCAAAATGAAGGCCATCACAAGAGACAACAAAGGTCACTACATAATACTAAAGGGATCGATCCAACAAGAGGATATAACCCTGGTAAACATATATGCACCCAATATACGAGCACTTAAATATATAAAAGAAACTTGTAGAAGACTTTAAGGGAGAGAACGGCAACAATACAGTCATAGTAGGGGACTTTAACACCCCGCTGATTTCACTGGATAGATCTTCCAGACAAAACTTAACAAGAAAACAGACACTTTAAATGACACACAGGATCAGATGGATTTAATTGACATTGCTAGAACATCTCACCCTAATCAGTTTGGCTCAGTGAATAGAGTGTTGACTGCGGACTGAAGGGTCCCAGGTTTGATTCCGGTCAAGGGCATGTATCTTGGTTGTGGGCACATCCCCAGTAGGGGGTGTGCAGAAGGCAGCTGATCGATGTTTCTCTCTCATCAATGTTTCTAACTCTCTATCTCTCTCTCTTCCTCTCTGTAAAAAAATCAATGAAATATATATTTTTTAAAAAATAGAACATCTCACCCCAAAGTTGCAGAATATACATTCTTCTCAAGTGCACATGGATCATTCATAAAGATAGACCACATGTTAGGACACAAAACAAGTCTCTACAAGTTCAAGAAGATTGAAATCATATCAAGCATCTTCTCATATCAGTGGAATGAAATTAGAAATCAACTATAATAAAAACACCCAAAAACATTCAAAGTCATGGAGGCTAAATAGCATGTTATTAAACAATGAATGGGTTACCAACAAGATCAAGAAAGAAATAAAAATCTTCCTGGAAACAAATGAAAATGAACACACAACAACCCCAAATCTCGGGAATTCGGCAAAAGCAGTCCTGAGAGGGAAGTTCATAGCAACAGGCCTACCTCAAAAAACATGAAAAATTAATAATAAACTCTTTAACCCTATAACTTAAAGAACTAGAAAGAGAACAACAAGAAAAGTCCAGAGTAAGTAGAAGGAAGGAAATAGTAAAGATTAGAGCAGAAATATTTAATCAATACAAAAAATCAGTGAAACCAAGAGCTGGTTCTTTGAAAGGATAAACAAAATTGATAATCCGTTAGCCAGACTCATCAAGTAACAAAGAGAGAGGACCCAAATAAATAAATTAGAAACAACAGTGGATAAGTAACCACTGACACCACAGAAATACAAAGGATTGTAAGAAAATACTATGAACAACTATATGCCAACAAGCTGGACAATGTGGATGAAATGGACAAATTCCTAGAAAAATGCAATTTCCCAAAACTGAGTCAGTAAGAAACAGAAAGCCTGAATAGGCCAATAACAACTGATGAAATGGAAGCAGTAATAAAAAAAACTCCTGCCAAAACCGGTTTGGCTCAGTGGATAGAGCGTCAGCCTGCGGACTGAAGGGTCCCAGGTTCGATTCCGGTCAAGAGCAGAGCATGTACCTTGGTTGTGGACACATCCCCAGTGGGAGATGTGCAGGAGGCAGCTGATCGATGTTTCTCTCTCATTGATGTTTCTAACTCTCTATCCCTCTCCCTTCCTCTCTGTAAGAAATCAATAAAATATATTTTAAAAAAATAAAAATAAAAAAATAAAAAAAACTCCCAGCAAATGAAAGTCAGGGTCTAGGTGGCAAAGTGGGAGTTTTACAAAACATTCAAAGAAGAACTAACACCTAAACTCCTCAAACTATTCAAAAAAATCCAAGAGGAAGGAACACTTCCAAGCTCTTTTTATGAAGTCAGCATTATCCTAATTTCAAAACCAGATAAAGACACTACAACGAAAGAGAATTACAGGCCAATATCCCTGATGAACATAGATGCTAAAATCACGAACAAAATATTGCAAATTGGATCCAGCAATATATTAAAAAGAGCATACACCATGATTAAGTGGAATTTATTCCAGGGATTCAAGGCTGGTACAATATTCGCAAGTCAATAAACATGATACATCACATAAACAAATTGAAAGACAAAAAAAATCACATGATCATATCAATAGATGCAGAGGAAGCATTCGACAAAATCCAACACCGGCTTTTTATAAAAACTCTCATCAAAGTGGGAATAGAGGGAGCATATCTCAACATGATAAAGACCATATATGACAAACCTACAGCCAACATCATACTCAGTGGGCAAAAACTAAGAGCATTTCCCCTAAGAACAGGAACAAGACAGGATGTCTGCTTCCACCACTCTTATTCAACGTAGTACTAGAAGTCCTAGCCACAGCGATCAGACAAGAAGAAATAAAAGGCATCCAAATTGGAAAGGAGGAAGTAAAACCCTCACTATTCGCAGAAGACATGATATTGTACATAGAAAACCTTAAGCCTTTAACCACCAAAAACTACTAGATTTAATAAATGAATTTGACAATGTAACAGGATACAAATTCAACACCCAAAAATTGATGGCTTTTTTATACACCAATAATGAATTCTCAGAAAGAGAAACTAAACAAACAACCCCATTTACCATTGCAACAAAAAAATTAAAATAGGAATAAACTTAACCAAGGAGGTAAAAGACCTTTACTACAAAAACTACAGACATTGAAAAAAGAGATAGAAGAAGATATAAACAGGTGGAAAG